CTTTCCTTCACTGTAGGTTTCTGGCCCATTTGTCAAAGATAAGTAGTTAAATGTACTGGGAGGTTGTTAGAGCATTCTTCACTCTGTTTGTTGGCCCTCCTATCTGTCTGTGTGCCAATACCATGCTAGTTTTTGTACAGTAGGTTTGTGATATAATTTCAGGTCCAGGGTGCTGATCACTTTGCTACTTTTACCCAAGATTGTTCTCTTTTGGTTCAACATGAATTTTAGGATTGTTTTCTCCAGCTCTGCAAAGAATTCTGTTAGAATTGTGCCAAATCTGCATGTAAATTTTTGAAGTACGGACATTTTGACAATATTGGTTCTGCCTATCCAAGAACAAAGAATATCTTTTCAATTTCTGAGGTCATCTTCAGTTTTCTTTTTTCAGAGTTACAGTTTTCATTGTAGAGGTCTTTCACTACCTTAGTTAGGTTTATTCCTAAGCATTTGATTTTTCTTGGTGCTCTTGTGAATGGTATTTTTTCTCTAATTTCTTTCTCAGTGATTCACTATTTGTTTACAGGAACTTATCAATGTTGGATCCTGCCACATTACTGAATTTAGTTATTAATTGTAAGTGTCTTCTGATGGATTGTTTAAGGTCTTCTATGTATAGGATCATGTCATGCAAATAATAATTTGACTTTTTCCTTTCCTATATGTATGCCTTCTATTTCTTTCTCTTGCCTGATTGCTCTGGCTAGTATTTCAAGGGCTATGTTGAACAGGAGTGGTGATAACAGACATCTTTGTCTTATCCTTGATTTTAGAGGAAATGCTCTGTAAGATTTTCCTCATATAATATGATGCTGATAGTAAGTTTGTCACAAATGGTTTTCATCAGATTGAGATAAGATCCTTCTGTTCCTATTTTCTTCAGTTTTTTAAAATAAAAGGCCTATTATTTCTTAATGTTATGATTTCTTAATGTTATATCTTTCTTTTGATCAGAAGTCTTCTCTAATTTTTCACGTATTTACCTAAATTGTCTTCAAATATACTTTACATTAGATTGTTATTGTTATTGTTACTGTTACTGTTATTGTTATTGTTATTGTTATTGTTGTTGTTATTGGAGAGGCAGGAGAGTTGAGACAGGGTCTGAGTGTGTACTTCAGGCTGACCTGGAAATCAAGGCAATCCTCCTGTCTCAGCCTCCCCAGTGCTGGGATTATAGATATTTGCCACCATACCCAGTTTACATTTTTGTTTTAAGCTATCTATAATTTGATTTAGTGCAAAGCATAAAATGAGAATCCATTTTTATATTTTTGTCAAAGTATTTATCAAATATTCCAGTATGTTTACAGCTAAAATAAAATGTTATTTCTTTCAAATTCTAATATAGCAGAACATGCTTGGGTTTATTTCTAGATATTCTCTTGAATTTTTCTGCCAATAATTCATTACTTTCCTCATATTAAAATTACAGTAAATACTTCTAAAAAATTTACTGTTAAAATTTGGCTACATTCATATATTTGATGCTCCAAACAACTTAGACTTAATGATGGGACTCTAATGCATATATTTGACTTGTAGTTAAAGTTGCATTGGACATGACATCTTTAAAATATGGAACTTTCAGTTTATGTTATGGATTACCATTTATTCATCTGTATTATTCCTCTATGTAGTGTTCTATAATTTTGCTTTTATTGGTCCTATAATTTTTTCTATGTGTCCTTCACAGACATTTTATGACTGAAATTTGAAATAAAATTTTACATTATAATCTAAAATTTCATTTCTCAGATGTTAGAAAGCTCTTGTTTTGATCACTAACTGTTGAATGTAATTGGTACTCTTTTAGAAGATTCTCTCCAGTTTTCTAGGTAAAAAAGGTATTATAATCCACAAAAGATAATAGGTTGGATCATTTTCAATAGTTAAATACAAAACATTTTTTGCCTTAATATACTGACTAAAACTTTAATAAGAATAATTAATAACTATTGTAATAGTTATTTTTGTTTTATTTTAAAGAGAAAAAATAAAATCAAAGATACAAAATTTCAAAAATAAGATAATAGGAAATTTATAATGGTTAATATATTACATTATTATCTTCAAAATAGTTACTCTAATTACATGACATAAGTGTGCATAATTAATGAAATAATAAAAAACTTTTTTAATGAACTAAGACAAATCAGCAGTATAATTATCTTAGCTCTCTTTTATCTATTACATATATTATTTTTCCTTTTCTCTTCTTTATCTTTTCACCCATACGTTGTTCTTTATTACTGAGCTGTTTCTTTCCTTTTCATATCAATAGTAGACTGGGACTTACTTACTTTTTCAGGAAGACATTATGATGTTTACATATGTGAGTCTGGTTTATTTTACTTATGAGGATGGACTCTATTTGTGCCCAATTACCAATAAATGCCTCAACTTTATCCTTCTTTAAAGTTGAGTAGTACTTCATCATATAAAAATACCACATCTTATAAATTTATCCTTTGTTGATAGGCATTTGGGTTGTCTCCAAGATTTGGCTATTGCAAATTGTGTTGCTATAAACATGGGTGCACACATATGCACTGTAGTATAATGTTTTCAATTCACCTGGGGAAATACTCAGAAGGGGAATAGCTGAGTCTAATGGGACCTCTGATTCCAGCTTTTTGAGGAATCTCTATACTTATTTTGACAATAGTTGTGTGAGTCTACATTCCCATCAACAAAGTTTCCTTTTTCCTCAACACTCTGTCAGCATTTGTTATTGGCTGATTTCTTGATGATAGCCATTCATTCTGGAATGAGATGGAATCTCAGTGTGGTTTTAATTTGTATTTCCCAAATGACGGGTAGTTGAATTTTTTTCACATATTTATTTTCCATTAGTATTTCTTCACCTGAGAAATGTTTATTCATCTCTGAAGTCCATTTCTGGATTCAGTCTTTGAATTTGGGGAGTCTGATTTTTTTTCAATTCTTTATATGTCCTAGATAGAACTACTTTGTCTGAGGGATAGTTGGCTAAAATTTTTTCCCACCAGGATTTTCTTTTCACTATGCAAATGTTTTATTTTGAGATGCAAATGTTTTTAATAAGATGAGATCCCAGTTTGTGATTCTGTGAAGTAACTTCCCATGTGATTTGGTTTTTGTTCATGGCCTCTGTGCCTACCCTTATGTCTTCAAGATTTCTATCCACTTTCCCTTTCGGTAGATTTAATGCTTCTGTTTTAATATTTAGATCTTTGATCCATTTTGACTTTACTTCAGTGCATGGTGATAGACATGGTTTTAGTTTTACTCTTCAGCATATGGAAAGCCATATGCCAAATGCCAGCACTGTTTATTAAAGAGGCTTGGTTTATTCTAGCAAAACTGGTTGGCCCCTTTGTCAAAGACAAGATGGCTGAGTGTGTTGAAAGTTGTGTCTTTATCTTCTAATTTGTTCCTCTGGTCCTTGGTCCTATTTTTTTGTTTGTTTGTTTATTTTATTTTGCTTTGTTTTTCCAGTACCATGCTGATTTTATCACTGTAGCTTTTTAGTATAATTTTAAGTCATGGATTGTGATGCTCCTGCCTTGGCTTTGTTGCCCAAGATTGCCTTTGCTATTCTAAGTCTCTTCAGTACCCACATGAATTTTAGGCATGTGTTCTCTAGATCTGTGAGGTATGTTAAAGGTATTTTCGTTGGGATACATTAAATTGGTATAACAGTTTTGGGAGTATAGCCATTTTCAAGTGTTGGTTCTTCCTACCTAAAGAAGGGGCATCTTTCCATTTTCTGATACATGTATGTTTCCATCTCCTTTTTTAAAGTGTTGTAATTTTCAATTTTTATTTTCTTTGTTAAATTGATCTGTATTTCATTTTTTGAATGTCTTGTCAAGGGTGTGATTTCCCACATTCTCTCTCAGTGATCTTGTTGTTTGTATACAAGAACACTATTGATTTTTGAGTGTTGATATTATATCCAGATAATAAGATATTGAATTTTTTTCATCTACAACTTTTTTAGTGGCACTTTTGAGGTATTCTATGTAGATAATCATGTCCTCTGTGAATAATGAGAGTTTAACTTCTTCCTTTCCTGTACTTATATATATATATATAAACAAGGAGATTGTATAGAAACCATTGTTCATTTTCTGTTAGTTGGTTCTAAATACCCTGTAACACTTTTACCCTCTTGAATGGTTTTACACTGTCTTGTTATGTTTGATAGTATATGAAGGCATACTCAAATATTTCAAGGAAAGAGACACTATAGTAGCTACTGTTATGTCGGGTTATCCTGTGGTGAAACACTATGTTGCTTAAATTGTTGTGTTCTGACCTGTGCTGTTATGTCCTCTTTCATTTTAATCTCCCCCTTTTTATATATTTTTTAAATAAAAAAATAAAGTATTGTTTCTTTGAAAGGTGGTTTAGCCATTTGATGAAAATCACTGTTTCAAATAATAATACAGGAATAGAGTATAGGATAAAGTGCCAAAGCACTTGTTCTGCATGTTGGAGTCCATGTGTGATATATAGGTTTTTATTTCTGTTTTCCACTTTAAGTAGTTTATCATTTTTTTTAATTTCAGTGTTGTTTTCTGCGTCCTGGTAGACCTGCATGACTTTGTTCTTTTGTTAATTATTCGGTTTGAGACATCTGTGATTCCCTTCTTTATGACTCATTATTAAACTCCATAAGATACATCATATGTTTCATCTCACTCTTATTTTATTTCTCTCTGTATCTTAACATCTCCCTTTTCTAATCAGAAATCATACTCCGTTTATTATCTGATGACACTGACGTTTTTCAGATTGAAAACAATAAACATATATTACGTAAAATTTATTGCTGGAATAAATGATGCTCTGTCCCATCTTTTGCATATTTTCTTCTATTAGGCTATAAAGAATTTTTAAATTCTTCATATCCCATTTTTTATTTACTCAACCTTGAATTATGTCTATCACTAGATTTCATATTATAACAAACTAAAGCAAAAAATAAAGCACCAAGCCTACTCATTCCTTACCTATCATTTCCTGGGGCAATATCAGCAGCAAGACGAGTCCAGGATTTCTTAGGGTAAGCACCGTGAAGCTGAAACTTCCCATAAACCCCTGAAAATAATAAAGGCAACAGGTAGAGACAAAAATATTTCAAAATCACTAAGGCCACATAAGTAAGGTCATCATCCAAAACACATATTACAGAATTTATATATAAATAGGTAGATACCTTATGAAAAAAAAGTGCTTGAGTTTTCTATAGTAGATCAAATATATTTCACATAGATATGACACATATTCTCTCAAAAGCTACAGAGAAATAACTATACCACCTCATAAGCTAAAAACTTGGAAACATGCTAATGGTTCCTTAAATTCAAAGAAGTATTCTTTCCCACCATTAAAAGATTTAAAACGATTTCTAGTCCTACTGAAATACGTAATATTTTATGTTATACACTTGATTCTCAAAGAAAGGCCAATTTTACTTCCTGAGGACAGGTTTTTGGTATTTAGTAGCTTTATTTTCAGTAGACAATATTTTGTCCTTTTCTATTTATTAAGGGAGAAATCTTTAGGGCCTATGTATTAAAATAAAATCTATTTAGACTCATAAAGTAAAGTCTTTCCAGGAACATACTTGATACAGACCACTTTTACTTCTTTGGGGCTTTTTTCTTACATGTCTCATTGGTATTTTCAATCATATTAAGCATAATTTCTGATATTACAGTGCTCTAAAACTGCTGTGCCTATAAACCTCATCAGCATGAAAATAATTATAATTACATACTCTCAACATATGTATATTTATTTAGCTCCCCTTAGGTAATATTTATTATTTTAGATAAATAAATTTATATAATAGTATTTGCTGTGTATTAAATGAGAAGTTTTAGTTTTTTCTTCCTGCATTCAAATAGATTGTTTGCATATGTCTAGATTAGCACACTCTATTTTGCTGGAAAGCAGCAAGATGAAAATGTAGGAGTTTTACAACATTCATCAGAAAAGTACATGAATAAAAGAAGTAAACAACAGAAATGCATCAATAATATACCTCGGCTTTTTATCTAGTATAGTCTAAAATAATAAAATCCTTATTTATTGGAAAGTAATCAATGCTTTATATTAACATTTATAATTTACTGAAAATTCCAATCCAGAAGATGAAAGCAAAAAAGGAGTTAATGGTTATAAAAATAATCCAACTTTCAGGATATGTCTTCAAGCCTCTTTCACATAACATTGTTTTATAAATATATTTCACAAAGTTATCATATCATAAAAAATCTTTTCTCATCATAAGGTAAGCAAGCTGGTCAAAGAAGATCATGAAATAATTTAAAGAGATTTCCATCAAGATTTATAACAAAAACCAGTTCATGTCTTTAAATGTGAATTATCAAGCAACCTGCTTGGAACCCCTTCAGTCTCTCTCTCTCCGAAAGAAGCTTTCTTTCTACTCTAAATATTTCTACTCTTAACCTCTATTGTTCCTAAAATTCATTCTTTGATTTTAGGGAACACAAATTCATACTGGACATACAGTTAGTTTGGATTTTCATTCTCCTATATCATTTGGAGGTTCCACCAAGATCATCAGACAGAGGTAAGAGTGCATCTTTTGTTTCATAAACTTTGGACTGGTACTCATTTAAGCAACAAATTTTTATGCTTCAAATTTTATTTTGTCTTCACCAGTTGCTTATAATTACTTGTGATAAATTTTTGCAATTTGCCCATTGTTTTAATTGCCTTATTTCTTAAATAATGAAAGTTATAAGATCATGATATTTCTTCAATGGTACATCTTTATTATTTTATTCTTGTACATATTAAATTTGATTAGTTGTGAAATTTCCTGGTACTCCTTGCTTGACTATATTTAGATAATAGTGCTAGAGACTATATTAGAACATCCCTAGAAGACTTCATTATAAACTTCTATAAAATGGGTCTTCTTAAATGAAATCTAGCTCAGACTTAGAATATATACATGCCTATGGTAAAACCAGGACTCCTTCCACCATTTAAGCAGCACTAGACTGGTGGATGGTCTTCAAGACTTGGAGGACAGGTTTTACTGAGACAGACTGGCTCTCATCCTCCTCTATACTCTAGAGGAAATGTCAAGCCTGTTCTGCTTCATTTTCCCTCCTTTGACCTTACCTCTACTCATTTCCCACATTTTACTTTCCTTATAGAGGCATGTGAAGTCAGAAAGAACTCTAGACTATTTAAGACTTTTTTTTCTTAGTTAAGCCCATAGAAAATGACTGTTTGCTAACATTGAAGACAAGGAAGTCATCTTAGATGAGGGACATGCACCCTGTCTTTGGGTCAAATGAGTCATCAGAATTGTGCCCATCCAGGAGAACATACATAAAAGCTATGTTCCAGCTTAATGTTCTGGGCCACATCTCATGTAGAGATGGAACCTGAGACATAGTAGGGAAAGCTGGCTTCCATGTGACAGTGGAAGAAGCTGTCTCCTAAAGCAGTATACATTATGGGACCTCAATACATTTAGAACGAGGAGGTTCTCCAACCTTTCAAGTTGTGGATTTTAAAACTTACAGTAAATTCAAAGAGCTAGGTAATGTTCTGGCTCATGTTTTTTAACTATCCCTTACAGAACTCTGATGAACAATGGTAACTCTGCCAGCTAATTAATCGCTCTTATAGCAGCTACCACCCTTAAAAGCAGAGTACAGGTTTCCCCAGTGTCTGTTTGGTGAATCCACATTGAAGCCAGTGGCCGATGGAGTCAATGGAATGTTGACCAGACAGAGAGCTGGATTCCTTTCTGGAGACTGACTTTTGCTTATCTGGGCCAATAGAAACTGAGAACAACCGAGGGTTCCTAGCTAGGGCAACTCTCTGATGGACACCCAAAGTGACAATTTGCTCAGGACGACTGAAAGTCTCCACTTATCTATCATCTTTATTTCTCTGCTAGTAGACTAGAAACCCTTACTAAACCTTTCAGGGGATCTTCAGATTATTTAAGATTACTCCTCTCTTCAGAGATTAAACTGAGGTAGTTTGCAACAATTGTTTACATTCTACAGCAGCTAGTAGGGGAAGGATTTACATTTGTTAATTAAGAGAAGTTAGTGTTTTCTTTCTGTGTGCCTAGGAGACTGATGTACCTTTATTAACATATAAAATTTGATCACTATATAATTTATAAGTTTAACCTGTGAGCTTCACAGATATTGACATTTAAATAAATCATTACCATATCCCTCCCCTAGAAAAGATTGCCCAGGTGATTAGATGGGTAATACAACTGTCTTGGAAGTTTCGTTGCCCTAGACTAGAATTCCTCAAGTTATTTGTTGCCTTATCTATCTCCAGAGGTGATCTCCTTCACAGTACAGTCAGAGAAATTATCAACTCACCTTTTTTGTATGCTCTCTTCCAATGAACCAACGCAGTAATCTATTACACAGTTATGCTTTCTTCTTTAAGCATTCCCCATGGAAACAAAGTTCGAAGAACTATTGGGGAAGATAAAATTGCATACCAGGCCAAGGGTGGATAGGCTGGCTGAATTTTATCTTCTATGCTCTCTAGATGGCATCCACCTATCCTGGAGTAGAATCAACCCAAAGGACACCTTGAAGGTATTATCAAATAGGAATAATAAGGGACGCATTAGTTATCTCCTTTTTGCAGAGTCAGATAGCTCAATGTCAAAGTCTTTAGAACTTCAGGGCTAAAGAGAGCTCAGTGGAGGTTCCTGAGTTCAATTCCTGTTACAAAGAGATTTCATAGTCTTATATGTTGTTTTACATTACAGACATAGGCAGCTCAATGCCAAACCCCCTTACTCTCTTTGGAATGCATTCTTAAGCACCGGAAGATGTTCGACCCTTGCATGTTGAAAAAAAGCCAATGGTATTTCTCTTCATGAGTGCATGGCCTACCTACCCCCTAGAGACAAAATTGAATACAGAGGGAAATATTAATTATGATACTATTTTACAACTAAAACCATATTGTAAGAAAGAGGAAAAATGGTTAGAATTGCTATATGTTCAAGCTTCACATTTATAATTCTTATCTATGCCCCAGCTATAATTATAATCCTTATGAGACCACTCCCATTCATAGGTCTCTTTCTCTCAGTAACTTTAAACAAAGCAAGCTAAAACTAGGAAAATTTGCAGATAACTCTGATAAGTACATCCATGTCTTTAGAAGATTTATTCAGATCTATGAGCTATGCTGGAAAGATTTAATGTTACTCTTAAATCTCACTTCTAGTGAGAGATAAGTAGAATTCCAAGCTGCTATTGCCTTTGGAGGTGAATATAATGTTGTTAATTTTAGAAGGCCAGAAGATAGTCAGGGGAACCACCAGTTCCCCCTGGGGCACGAGCAGTTCCTACCCAAGACCCCAAGTGGCCTGACAACAATACAGGAGAATGGAACAGGAGCCTAGTGTGTATTCTTGAAGGTCTAAGAAGGACAAAAACCAAGTTAAATTGTCAGCTATTTCTCAGGAAAAAGGTGAAAACCCTTCTGACTTCTTAGAACATTTGTCAGAAGCAGTAATAAAACATATGTTCATAGATCCTGATTCAATAGAGAGACAGATTTTGCTTAAACACGTGTATTACTCAATGTGTATTACTCAATCAAGTCCAGACATTAGAAAAAAGCTATGAAAGATAGCCTTCACTCTAGATAGTTCACTTGATTCTTTAATAAATCTACTTCCTTAGTATTCTATAATCAGCACTTGGAGAAAACCAAAGAGAGAAAACAAAAAGTTTAAAAAAATAGCACCTTTATTGTGGCCTTAAAAAAATAGACCTTAAGTCTGATTCTCAGGGTTCCAAGAAGAGCTTGCTGATAACTAACCTGCTATCTCTGCCACAAGCCAGGCCACTTTAAAAGGGACTGCCTTAAAAGGCCCCCCAATTCATGCCCTAACTGCAAAGGGGACTGCTGGAGATCGGACTACCTTCTGAGGCCAAGGACCCAGGGTTCAGACCCATCCTATTTGCTGGTCCAGCAGAACTCAAAGGCCTTGGGGCACTCATTTCCTCCTCTGGCCAGACTGTCATCTCTACTGTCATCTCTGAGGGGGGAGCCATGAGTAATCATGTCAAGAAGTAAAAACCCGCCAATTGCTGAACATTGCCACATGTCTCTTAGTCCTGCTCAACTCGGATTTTCCTTCCAGGCACTGTACCTCAATACAGTCACCAAAATATAGGTTGCTTTAACTTTCTGTTCACTCATTCCTTTTAGTTATGCCTAAAAGCCCAACTCCAATCATGGAGAGATTTTATCCTGTCTAAATGATATCATATGTATATGATATATATAAATGCTATATGATATATATATATATATGTATCTCCAAGTTGCCACCTAATCAAAATGATGCTGAGACTGATTTTTACAAATCTAGAACATATTATTGTTCATATATAAAAACATAAGAGAGCTTCACTTATCAAAGTAAAGTATTAGTCTGGGTTCTCAGAAGTTAATCAAATTTAGAGGTAATTATAAAGCTAAAGAGCTAAAAAATTTTATGACAGTGTCAGACTCTATCAATAAAAGGACCCAAGTCAATGGGTTTTAACTGTCATAATTTAGAAACAGTCCCTAAACTTCAGTGTCAGTACTACTACTCATGCTTTGATTATATATGCTTTGTATACAAACTCTGATTATATATGCCTTGATTAAAAATTGTTATTGCCTAAAGGTGCCAAACCCCAAGGCATCATACACACAAAAACCAATAATATGTTAGATTCCTTTTAGATTCTTTTTTACTGGGATCCACCAGATTTTGTCCAGAGAAACTTATATGACATATATCAAGGCCTTAACTATAGTCAAACAGGCTTAAGTGACACTGTAACTGGTCTGTCTCCTAAATAAAATAAAAGTAATGAGACAGGCTGTTATCCAGAATCAGATGGCATTAGACATTCTAACAGCAGCACAGGGTGATACTTGTGCAATTGTAAAAACTGAATGCTATGTGTATATTCCTGATTGTTCTGCTAATATTTCAATATCCATTCAAGATATTAGATGACAAATTAATGACATATCCAGTTCTAAAATTCCCTGGACCTTATCCTTTCCCTCCTTATGGGAAGCTATTATTAGCTCCTAGTGGTGGAAATCTTCATTAACTATACTCATAATTATCCTATTGATTATATTATTTGGGCCATGTATGCTTAATTGTTTTTTGGCTTTGTCTCCTCCAGACTTAAAGCTGTACAGCCACCCAAGATGAAGCTGCCTGGTGTCTATCAAGGGCCTTTAGATAGATCTTCTTTAAAATATCTCTGACTATCAATCAACAACTACACCCCTTTTCAGTCTGAAGAAGCCAGATCAGTCATCTCCCATTTCTTCCTGATGGAAGCTTGGGATAGTTCTTCAGAGAGGGAAATGTTACAAGCAACTGAGCTAGTTAGAAAAGTTATAGGCAGTCATGCAGGGTTAGGCCCTTGAAGAAGCTGGCACAGAGGACCTTGTGTCTGATGACCTTGGAGGAATCACACACCTCTTGCTGTGGGCCAGATCTCAAAACAAATGCAACCACACCTTTAAGTATAATCCTCAGGGATTAAATCTGGAACATTTTGCGAAGCCAAGAGTCAGCATCCTAATCCTTTATAGGAGGAGTCACTGATCTCTAAGAATGCCCGCTTTCTGTGGATTTGCCTCCCCATTTGTTCCCAATTTAATCAATTTTATCCGAGCTATTAATCTTATTGGCTAAACATAGTAAGTTTCCAGTTTTCCCCAATTTTAGTCCCACCTTACCTCATGATTTTACTTTATAAAAACCCTGAGAAGACACAGAATCTTTGGCAACCTGCTTAGGACCCCTTCTGTCTCTCTCTCTCTCTCAGACAAAATCTTTCTTTCTCTCAATAAATATTTCTACTCTTAAAAATAAATAAATAAATAAATTTGAATTATCTAGAAAATTTAATTGGCCAGAAAAAGAGTTGTTAATAATTTCTAATATTCAAAGCTTTATATGAAATGGCACTATTTCTTAGTTGTTACAGTGAGCTTATAAAGGATTTAAAAGAATTAAAATTAGTCATTTACTTAGGATACTATAAAACTTGAAGCATGCTATAAAGCAAATATTTCAGTATTTATTTAAATTTATTATTAAGAGAGAATTTCAAAACACTAGTTTAACTATGTGGTTAAAGTCAAAGGTTAGGACATGTACCCATGTACACTCCTAACTGAAAGTTGGATCCAACTTGGTTACTCCTCAGAACAGAAACAGCACCCCCCAAAAAATCTTATTATTATCCTGCTAGTTTATCAACTGAAGAAAAATCCAAATATTCTTCAATATCCTATTGTTAGAAATATAAGATAAATAGCATACATGAAAATCACAGTGCTCAAAAACATTTTATAGAATGGTCTCTTCTCTTGCACTGCAACACTAAGTGACTTAGTTGAACATAGCCAACACAACATGGCATTTAATGGGGAGCCGATTAAAATTAGTATCCTGGATGGTGACGGTAATTTGCTTAAGCCATATAATCACATAATATTTAAAAACATAATAAAGTACAATGAACTAGCTCTTTTAAAACTTCTGTAATCAAGGGAAGGAAAAAATTAAAAAGAATCCAGTTTTGAAAATTGATCTCTTTCTTTTTCCCTGAGACATATTCTTGCTATAAAGTTCACACTAGTTTTGAACTCACTGTGTAGTCCAGGTTAGCCCTGAACTCTATTCTCCTGCCTTCACATTTTGCATGCTGAGATTACAGACGTGTATCACTAAAGAAAGCAAAGTTGTTTCACATCAAGTGTTACCCTATTTCCCTTTATAAAATCAATAATGCCTATGCAGAACCTGAGAGACAGTACTTGAAAGCTTATCAGCATTCTCTTATCTCTGGAAACTGAGTAGTTTTGGAGTTGTTATATCATGTCTATTCAAGAACAATCTTAATTTTGTATTCTTGTGTAGGCCAGTTCTAAAACTAAGATGTGGTACAATGCCAATATGAAATGGAAAAGCTGTCAACACTAAAAGAACTCTAAAAATTTATTAATGTATCAGTATAAAATGTATCAATAATCACACAATATTTATAGTTGATGATATACATCCTTAGTCTAGACCTTGGGGTATGTCATATATAGATATAAATCTAACTTTTAACATTACAAAACTCTGTGGTCTTCTACCTACTGCTGATCATCTCTGGCATCTATAAAATGGATAGTTTTCACAAGAGAACAAATAAGTGAAATAATAAATATGAATTTTCTAGAAGAGTGCCTGAAATTTACTAAATGCTCTGAATTTCTCTGTCTCTCTGTCTCTCTGTCTCTGTCTCTCCTCTCTCTCTCTCTCTCTCTCTCTCTCTCTCGCTCTCTCTCTCTCTCTCTCTCTCTCTTTCTCACGCACACACACAACTTATTTGATTTTAATAAAAATATTTTGCACTCTTACCAATTGTTCCTGGGTCAATACGAATTCCATTGAGACGATCACAGAAGACTCCTTCTGAGGCTCTAAGGCGAATGAGAAACTTTTGTTCTTTTTCTAAGGGATTTTCTAAAGTACCTGTTTACAAAGAAGAATATCACACAAAGTAATTTGAAATTAAAGAGAGGATGCAAAATCGATGCTATAAACTAAACTACATGGAAAAGGGCCAACAAGTCACATAGGTGGAATGGGGGGGGGCAGCAAAATGAAATTCAGTAAACTTCTCTAAAAAGAGACTGGACTACATTCAACAAATATTCACTGTTCTTTCCTCATTGGGTCATATACTTTTCTAAATTAGCAATATTTATCTTCATCACACAAATTGTTTCAGCTAAATAAATTTGAGTGGGTGTCATTTTAATACCAGTTCTCAGTTGATATTTTAAGAAATTTGCAAAGTTTTACCAGGGCACTGCAATGATCTTCTCTGGCATGAAGTTGCTAATGTCTTAAAGAAGAGACATGGAACAGATCTGAACAGAAATAAAAAGCTATAACAAAGTCTAAGCAATGCTAGTACAAATATTTATTTTCACAAACTACCTAGATTCAAAAATTCTTTATTACACATTTTTATTACAGTAGAATTTGACTGATGAACTGTCTATGGCTATTTGATGCACAAATTCCTTTACATGCACTTTAGCATTTAATCCTTACCATAAAACTGAGAAGTATGTTTCTCACCCAGTTTTACATATTCATTCATAAAGAGGCTTAGAATTTTAAGTGAATTATCCATATACAACTACTAAGTAGCAAAGTCTATTTGAACAATGGTATATTTGTGTTTCCTATTAGTCAAGTAATTAAATTAGATTATATAATTCCTTTTATAATTTAAAGACATATAAAGGCATACACAGATGATACTTACACAGTAGATAGGAAATTACTTCATCAGTGATGACTGATCACTTACAGAAAACTTAAAACTGTTCAGGAAGTTTGCTAAAATGGCATTAGTAAATATGGAACTAGGAAGGTGATATTCAGAAAATATTATAGCATTAGTTGTTTAAGAAATAACTGGTGGAAAGGCAGTCTCCAAACTACAGTGGATCTCTCAGGTTCCTAAAAAGCTATCTGCTATCAAGTGAGACTTTTGGCTTACAAATATTCTGAGAACATAACCAACAATGAGGTTACCAAATATGTTTGAAATAACTGGTAAACTTTTTGTCTACTTGTCTTTTGGGTTCTACTTATCCTTTGGATTAGTAATTCTTTTCAGGCAACATAAACCACTCCCTCCCACTGGCATTTCACAGGTACCTGGCTAGCCAAAAGGCTCCTGGCTAGGTGAGTTTGAGCTTGCTACATCCTATCATTACAGTTCAGTGTTCAAGTCATTATTTTACAAAAAACTGTTGAAAGCAAAACTCAGAGAAGAAAGGAAATCTGCCTAGAGTTACTATAAGGAGCAAGGATTAGAACTCATAGCCTGTGTATTTCCAGTGCGACATTAAGGTATGTCGCTGGTAATGCCAACTCTTAACTGAGCCTCTAAGGTATCCCCTTAGTCCAAAAAAGATGTTATATAGCAATAAGAAGAGAATGGGAGGAGGAGAATGTTAAGCAAATGCGTACAGTGCAGCTCTTATCTTGCAGTTATAAGTCTGTCCAGTAAGCCATTTTCCAACTGTGATTTCATTTATTTCACGGAGGGTAGTTGAAAGTCTCAGGGAAAAATGGCCTAGTACTAAACAGATACTAGATTGAAAAAAGTAGGACAGTGTGTGCCCTAGAGAAATGTATGCAGAGTTCTACAAAAGGAGTTCAGCATTTCTCTAAAATCAGAGATTAAATCAATTATGCAACCCAAAATTGCAGCATATGTGGAGCTTTCCCAGAAAGTCTGGACAAAATTAACCAGCCTGCCATGATTTTTGGTATCTGAAGTAACCAGAGTTTGAGATCTTTTTTGTCAACTTAGGGGGAAGGGAAAACAGAAAGATGGGGTCTAGGCAGAAACAAGACTAGGCAAAAAGAAGAAGCACATGCTACTCTAACACGAAAATGCAGTGCTTCCTATATTTACAAAAGCTAATGAATAGAAAATGTTAAAGGCTGAGATACTGAGATGAAATATATTCTCCAACCCAGCAATCAAAGAAAGATGACATTGTCCCATGTGAGAATAGCCACTTCAATGGAAAAGTTGCTCATGGTAAGGCAGTTTGTCCTTGGTTTCCCTTTGTAAAGCTGCTCTACACTGTAGCAAGAAATACAGAAAACCTTGAGGAATTTACCCATTCATATTGGCAACAGAAATAATGGTCATTTTGCTGCAAAGACATTCCAGATGTTTTCACAGACATGATTTCTCGTAAGTTTTCACAGGTCTTTGATAACTGTTGTCCAGGTTCTCATGAGGAAACTGAGGCAAAGGAGGGTTAAGTAACTTGTCAGGAATTACACAGCTATTAAATAGTGAATGTGGGCCTTAAATTTAATAAGTACCATTCTAGGCCACGGGGATACAGGGCAATAGGAGAAAAGTAAAGCAAAGTCAATACTACTTAGCATGGTTAATAAAGGGAAAAGGAATAGATTCCAGATGCTAAAATCACCTAGGGAGATGGAAAAAAATAAGCTCTGGCATAGAAAAGATAACCATTGTAATGACTTGGGGAATATGGGACAAATAGATTCCTTGAACTTCAAAGGTAAGACAAAGGCAAAAGGACCTTTTATTATTTTATTAACTAAATCTCTTTGATGGAATAAATATAATCCTACTTTATACTTGAACCCACTCCGTCCACATGATTCCTTACACTCTGAACTCAGCCAGAGCCCACTGGTTACTTACCAGTCTCTCAACTCTCTCTGCCCACGAGAGCCCTCATCTTTTACATCTTTCACCTTCATTCTTTCTGACTCGCTGTCTCCCTTCAACACTTGGCTCCATTCTAACTGATCTCTAAAGCTTTCTGTGGTCTTGAATTAAATGCTGCATTTGTGCATAAAAAACGAGGTGCCACTGGCTATAGTAATCCTGCTTCAAGGAATTTGTCTTAAGAGTTAAGGACAAAGAGCAATGCCCAAAGTTCTTTCTTGTTGTCTTTATTTATAAGACATCTTTGAAATGGCAATTAGAAACGTCTTCATTCCTGGAGAATGTCGCCTGTCTCCCAGTGTTTCTAATATGCTCAGTAGCTGAGCACATACTCTGACAAGCTTCTACAACACGGCTCTTCTTTCATGGCAAACACTAAGTTTCAAAACCAGCTCACATTTCACGTTTTTTTTTTTTTTTAGATCATTCCTTGTCTACTAAGTCTTTCCTCTTCAGCTTCCACAGCATAGAATACTGTACTCTAATACTGAAAACTATACTGTGTGTGTCTTTTATCTGTTTCCATCTCTTGGTGAGCGGAGAGGAGAAACAGTACACTGCCTGTAGGGTTCATTTAAAATGTTTTACATTCAAATATTATATATACACACATGTATATATGTATGTATATGTGTGTATATATAATCAAGAAATAGTAAACTAGTTAACTGTAACTCTCTTGCAGAAAACAATTAGAAATATAAAGAAACACACTATAGTAATAAAAAATTATCTATTAAGTTATTACAAATTTCAATATTATGCATCTAGCATCATGGCTTCAAAATGTATGAAGCAAAAGTTGAGACAACTACAAGAAAATGTAGATATGCTATAATAATGTCCTAAAGTTTACAAAACTCTCATACAACAAATACTAAGATTACAGCAGTTTTGAATAATGCAATTAACAAACTTGGCATAGTACAGATGGAAAACTAGACTGTTATAAAGAACACATTCTTTTCAAGCATGCACAATACATGTATGAAAGCTGATTAAATACTGACCATAAAGCAAGATTAACAAATTTAAAAGAATTGAAAGTATATAGCATATGCTTTCTGGCCATAATTCAATTAAAATGTACAGTTAATAATGGAAAGTTTATTAAGTAGGTTATATTAAAATTAATAATTTCCAGTTATCAAAAGATACCATGAAGACTGTGAGAAAACAAGCCACATAGTGGGGAAGGATATTTGCAATACATAAAATCAACAGAAGAAATATCTGAAAATGTATAAGAACTTCAATAAATGAGTATAAAACAAATATTTTTCATTAAAAAGAAGCTACTTCCCAGGGTTATCCTAAAAAAGAATACATATATATGAATATAATTGTACAATCACATTGAAAATAAGAGAAATTAAAATTAAAATAATTAGAGATCATAATAGAATAGATAATGATGGAAACCAGCCTAATCATGGGACATATTCTCTGAATAATTTTTTCCAAAACAACAAAGTATCTTTTTACAGATTTGCTTTTCTTGTCTGAATAAACTTGACATTTCACAAATCTGATGTCTGCACAAGATAGGTCCAACAATTTACTGCAAATCACTTTTCTTTATTTTATACCTGCCCTTAGAAGTAGATTATATAGGGACGACTTTGAAAGTTGAGCTTCTACTTAAGCCAGGTCCTGCTATACCTGTTTTCTCCAGAACACAGACTACAGAACATTCTTGCTGTCAGCCTCTGGCTAGCAAGTAGTGCTGGATCAATCAAATGCAATGCAGTTTATTGTGAATTAGCCTTTTATTCCCAGTGTATACTTGATCCATTTATCTCTAATGTATGCCTCTCCAATCGAATTCATTCCATCAAAAAATACATAAAGAATATTACTGTAGTGCATTAAATGAGAAATGTTTGAGGAGATAAATGTTTATCCTGATTTGAACACTGCAAAATGTATTCATGTAGGAAAACATCACATGGTACCCCATAAATGTGTATATATTTTTAAAACTTTCTTTTAAAAAACTGGTTATAAAAATGTACAGTCACTGTCAAATAATTATGCCTAATCCCCAACAGATTGACTATATTCAGGTGAACAAATTTCAACTAGCAATATCTCTCAATTTATAATCAATTGACAGAATATTAAAATAAATGTGTCACTCATTCCCTACTTGGAAAATATGTAAATCTTCATAGAAAATGTTGAGAATATTATATCACTTTTATAAACCTCAGTTTCCCCAATAGAAATA